TTAATGTAGCAAAGGAATTTTTTGTGCTTCGATTTAACATGTATCACAAACAAACAAATCACTCTATTCAATATTTAACGGGATTGATTTTTTTATTGCGGCCAAAACTATACTGAGAAGTGCCGCCAGTTTAGAAAGAGATGTCAAAATTTGTCGAAATTGCATACCAAACCCGAATGTTGGACTACCACCGATAATTGTGACGAATTTGAGCAGACAAGAGCTTAAGAAAGAGCGAATTGTAGAGAGAGCAATCAATCCAGATCATGAGAACATCGAGCGTTTAGTGCCAAAGATAAAAGTTATCTTCAAAACTTGGTCATTAACTCGAGAATACCATGAATTGGGTGATGCTGCACCAGAAGACATGATTGAGCACGTAGTCATTTGGCATCGTGACATTGTTGCCGCAAAGAATATTTTATTCAAAGGTATGTGCATAATTGTATATTGTATTAATATTAAATTGAGAATAGAGAGCAGAGCGTTAGGTGTTCAGTGTTCATATTAATTGATTAATGTTTTGTGTTTGTTTCTTATTTTATAGGAATGTGTCGTCTTTTTGGCATACCATTGCCCGATTCGTTGAAGAGACCTGACAATCCACACCATGCGAACAATGTCAACTGATAGCAGCATAAAATCAACAATAATCATAAGAAGAATATTTTAACAATTTTGTTAGTTACTAGGCGTGAATAGTTTAAATCCAAGGATTTCTATTGTACCCTTGACCGCAGTACGGGTCCCTATTTAGGGCTGTGCGGAATATAAAAGAACCCGTAGGTGAGTACTTTATTGAATTGATAGTTTAGTTTTGCATTCAATCTAACTGAATTGTTTTTTTCTTTTTTTTCCTTTCCATTTTGACGGTAAAATTGACTGAAACTACACACACATCCAACCCCAATATTGACCGTCAACTTATGCCCGATAATGGATGAATTTGTGCCAACAATTGTTCCTTGGGATAGCCATATTTTAGACGATTTCGAATGCTCTTGAAATTACCTGATAATTCAGCTATGTATCCGGTCAATGTGGCGTGAACATTTTTTTTTGTTTCATTCATAAATATTTTTTTCGTTATCGAAACATTTGTTTTCATTTCGTTCACTCGTTCATTAAAATCAATTCCATGTACAAATGGTATTTGGGCATTTCAAAAATTCAAATCAAACGGATTATTCGTCAAAATGCAAACAAATACTCGTGTGTTCACATGTTCAGTCAACGGGGTAATCATTTATTGAATAATATCCAGTTATCGTTACAAAAATGACAAATACGCAAATTCAATTGAAATTGGTTGGTTTTTTTGTTCGTTTCTCCTTCATTGTGTGCATGTGTTTGTTTTTATTATTCAGTTTGTACGTCATTTCTGTATGAATTCAATTGTGTTTGGTTCGGTTGGCTTCAATGTCCGATTTAACAATCGTTCAAATCAACTTAATAAGCGGTTAGCACAAAATAATAAAAAAAATACTTTGAATTCATTCCTATCCTCAAATTCAAAACACACATTCAGTGTTCTCTCTCTCCATTTGCAATGTTTGTAAGCAAATGTTCTTTAATGTCGTTTGTTGTTCGGCATTTTGTGTGTCCGAAATTCTCTTTCTCTATTTCGCATTCGTTCGTTCGCTTCTCATTCGATCGGTGAATTTGGTGGTCTGCCGATTTCATTTGCGTTCGTGACATTAAATTTAATTACATTATTTTTGTTGTTTGATGCGAGCAACTTTTGTGTAGGCACACACGAAACACACAAAAATATATATATAACCACAATTGTTCGCAACTATTCTAATGGCTGTAGCAACATATTTGTTCCCAATATATATTAAAAAATGGTGTGTTTCGTTTCGTCTCCATTTGTGTACGAACATATAATATATTTTTTTCTCTATTTTTAATAAACCCGAATGGAATTTACTTGTTACTGTAATTATGTTATAACAAACTTATAACTAGTTTTGTGCAGCCTTTTTTTCAAATATTATTTTACTGTTGTTGTTGGTGTTTTTTCTCTTCTGTTTGTTGTTTTTGTTGTTATCTTTGTTTCATATCATTTGTTTCGTTTTCGAATCGGTTATGTGAGCATGGTGTTTTTTTTTTTATTTCATGTTCATTTTGAATGATAAATTCAACGTCATAACGTTTGCCGTAACGAATATAAGAAAATAAAACAAGCAAACACACAAGCCAACTACTGCATGAAGCATTTGGACAACCCGACGTGGCATTTGTTTTAGTCGAGGCTAATCGAGTGGACATTTTCCATATATACATATACATACAAATAACCCCTATTCGCCATTCGCGTTACGTTGTTAACGGTCGAATGGCGGTGGTAATTCCATTTGAAAAGCAACGATTGCCATACATTGCGTAAGCTTTGAATCCTTAATGGTTGCCAGTCATTTGAATACCGTGCATTTTGATATCAACTCTTTGCCACTGTCTTTCTCTTTTTTTTCAACCCTTCAACTTCAAATCCACAAAATAAGCACTTTGTAAACCCATTGGTCATATAATACATCGATTGAAATTTGAATTTGTTTGACTGTGTGACTGACTCGGTTTTTGTTCTTCTTCTTCTTCGGCCATCGTTATTATAAAATGCAGTGAATACATTATTTATGGAGAAATGGCATGAGTAGGTTTCTATGTGCTCATGTGCCTAGGTGAATTACTGGATGTTTGTTAAATCCATTATGGCCCGAAATCATTTCGTAAATTCACCACCACATGTACAAGCCCGGTGGCATATTTGTGTGCATTCACTGGCAATGGCCACATTTATTTGCTTTTTCAACCATTTCTTCTATATAGATATTTTTATTGGTTGACACATCATAATTTGTTATGGTCGGGTTTTTCTAACCAAACCATTTGTCTGCTTTCTTTTTTTCCTCTCTGCCGATGGGTGTATGTTCGATTCATCGTGTTGTATGAAGTGCTTGAACGCATGTACGACTTATATGATTCATTCGGAATTTTCATGTTTTGACCCTGCAAGGATTTTTGATTTGTTTTCCGCAATCAAATAATTTTAATTCCAAACAAAAGACTCTTCATGTAAAAAACCGTTTGAAATGTTCTTCAATTGAACGACTTAGAAACAGAGGTCGCATCGAGGCCCTGATGTACAAAAATTGCGTTCGTTCTCATCTCTTGGAAACGACGTTTTCCGCGACGAGCAACATTTTATTCAAATAATTATCATAAAATAGATTAAAAAAAAATCATTTTCAGCTGCTCATCGAGCGATTATATTGAGAATGGCCAATAAAGCCTTCACTAAATCAAATTGGCCAAGATTTGCTTATGCATCGACTCGCATTTGTGGCGACTGCGATAATTTATGGATTTATAATCAAAAGTCGCGCTTATGAACACAGTGCCGCCTAATCGAACCAAAGAATCTCTTGCATCTTGTGAGAAAAACTTGTTATTTATTTGCTACTCTGATACAAGTCACATAGCCCGAACACCATATTATTGCCGTTTTGCAGTTGATTCATGTCAAATGAGATGTGAACCGAATAAGTCTTTATCCGGTGATTATCGGAGAAGTGGCTGTGCTTTACAATTCATAATAAAATCGGCAAAATGGCTTTTGCATTTCGGTGTCTCATTAAATATGGTCTGAAGGAGGTAAACCGAGAAGCAAAGTTCCTTCGAGCAACGACACAATGAACTGTCGGGCCGTAAGACAACGCACCTTCACGTTCGCTACAAGCAGAATGGTAGAAAGAGAAAGACGACAAAAGTAAAACTACATGCGAATTATGCCGGCACGAACATTATGCGTACACATCGAGTGAATTACGAGGAGCAGATGAGATGGTAAAACGCGGCATATAAAATATATACAACAAAGGTAAGGAGCTTGATCGAATTGCGTTCATTACTGCCACTTTTGTGCGGCTGCTTATGAAAATGAAGTGTATATCGAAAACGAAATAAATTACCGCCAATATATTGCAGTGAAATCATAAATCATGGCAAATGTTGTATCAATCATTTTCGGAAATCAGAGTATCGTACTTTGTTATACAATATTTGTCAAACAACACCAGCTGACATCATTTCGACAAAAAAAAGAAGAATAGCATTTAAATTCACCTTTCAATCGATTCGAATTGTTCTAGTCATGAAATTAAATCAAATAATCAAAATATTGCAATTTAAATTGCAAGAAAATTAAAAAAAAAGATGAATTCCTTGTGCGATTATAGCTCTAAGAATACAAGGAAGATACAAATTTGCCGTCAGCTATTCGAATCGAATAATTCAACGAGAGACACTCACAAATTAATCGAACACATGGATCATCATCACGATAATATGCAACAAAAATCGCACAAGACGTCGACGTGACAGCGACACCGAACGATATGCGGTATATCGATGAAACGAATCATAGCACCATCGATGTAATGATATATATCCGCGTAACGTCATTTATGTGACAAATATTGTGCACATGATTTGTGTATGAATTAATTTGTCCCCTGGCACATTCATCGTTTGGCATATGTTACGGATATCGCTTATGATGCCGCAAAATTGACATATGACGAATGGCAAACACATCGTGTGAACAACACCACCGTACAAATGCATTGTTCAGTTTAATCGCATTTTCGTTTTTCTCCACTCTTCTCAATTGTGAAAATGATGCGCACATTTTTTGGAGCAAAAATCAAAGGTGTTGGTGCGTTTCGCTCGTAAGACCAAAAAAATAAAGACATAGTTAAAGATAAGGAACAAAAGACTGCGAGAACATGGTGAAGAACATTGTTTTAGCTAATGTAATAGAGCAAACGATTGGATTTAACATGATGCCATAAGTGCGCCTATTAGCTATGAATAATCGAACTCCATTCCCTATCGGGCCAATATTTTCTCCTTCTCTCCCGGTTTTTTTTCCTTCTTCTTCTTCGTAGCAGTAATCCCAACATTCACATGAGATGTGGAATTGACGTTCGTACAACTCATTTTCTATCTTTATTGTACAATGTTGCTCGTACTACTACGAAATTTGCTGTCGTTGCTGCTACTGCGGTTCCATTGCAATGATGTAAAATTGGTGGCAAGCTTTTCTCACGATTTTCTTGCGCACGAACACACCAATTTGATGAAGCACCACTACCACCACCATCAGCACCACTACTTACCTTGGTTAGATTGGCATCCATTGGCAATCCTAAACGGTGAACGGTTAAATAAGATGCAAATGCTTGCGATTTACACTCATTGAGGTTTAAACGATAAACTAAAATCCCATGCCAACTCTAACTCACACACATATATCGCAATTTAAAAAAAAAAACATATTTATAAATGTAAATCCGGATACGATCTATTATTATCGTCTTTCGATCACACATTCTCGGTCACATTCTACATTCTATTTCTCTCTATCATTCTGCTGTGTTCTAGTTTAACGAATTTTGCCTGAAAATATACGCCGATTGTGTGTGTGTGTGATGTGCATTAATAATAATGATACGTTACATGAGTTAGAAGCTTGGCAAATCCATAGATAATGAATACAAATTACTCATCGTTTTTAAAAATGCGCATATGAATATGGTTGAGAGCTACCGATGAGCAAATCTACCGTCATCAACACCAACAATAATAATAATCCAATCGACTTTATGGAAATTATTGACGGGTAGTAAAATGAAGTTCATTTTTAAATTGACATTAATTACATGATTGTATACACATTCAAATCCATTTTGATGCAATCCCATATTTAGATTCAAAACAATGACAAGCCCTAACAAGAATGGTTCGATTTTGTACGAAGTAAATTCCACCGTGACTTGACTTGTCTTGACAACTAAATAATGGTTCTGAAATCAAATGTCCTTTCTCTCCAAATTTGACAGTTTTCAATTTAATTTCAACAATTATTTTTTGTCTTTGTCGTCATCATCATTTCAACCAATTGAATCTCAAATGCATTGATTGACTGGGGGTAAAAAAATGCCGCCGGCCACAATAAATGCAGAAACGTAAAATTTCGCGATTAAATATGATTTGTGAAAATGAATTTTTGTCGTGTGGATGAAAATTAATCTTGTTTATTGCAATTGCATGCTTAATTATAGACGACCAATTGTTGTAATTCGTATTACAGAAATGTGATGGCCCAAATTGGATGGATATAAGAAGGCGATTTCGTGGTCGCTTATTTGTGGCTAGACGCATGAATTTGGTTAGTTTTGTTTGTATATTTATTTATTCATTTATTTCACAAGCTTTGGTACTTCAATTCAATTCGTGTGCGTTGTTTATAAAATCGATTTAATTGGAGCTTTTTGTGGTTTACTTCATATTGCTTTGCTTTCTTGAATTTTGACCGTTTTTTATTCACATTTTTTTCCTCTCTCGCACGCTCTCTATCTCTCTCTGCCTCTCTTGGCATATTTACCCAATTGGCCTGGACATGTGATGACTCGTTCATTATTCATTACAGATTTGGTTTTGTGTGTTTCTTTTTTTTTTTTCGTGTATACATTTTTATTTACTTTTTTCTTCATTCTCGTTCGCTGGATGTTCGTTCTACACTGTTGGCGATGGCTCCATCGTTGCGCCCATAAAGTGATTCGTGATTATTATTGTTTTTCTTTTTTTTCCCGTCGAATGATAATGATTGTTTTCATTCATATGCGGATGCGCGCGCTCGAATCGTTATCAAAATTATTATCAATGATAATTTTTCTTGAGAATTAAAAAAAAAAACAATTTTTTTACAATTCATTGTCCATTTGAAGAGATTGGTCATTAAAGAATTGATTTTTTTTACGCTGTAGATGATATTAAATCAAAACGCGATGAATCTGCTTTTCAAACCCAAATGGGCTCGACCGGGAGATTTTTACTTTTCCGCACACATAGTGTAAGGTGAAAAGTATTTTAATCGCTCAAAATTTTGAAAACTTCAGAAACATGTTTTCTGGACGTTTCTGAGGTCAGAGAACCCGAATTTGGCGTTTTTAAACATGGTTTTTGTTAATCTGTTCGTCGTACGTTGTGCGTTGTACGTTTTACGTTGTACGTCGTACGCAAAATTTGTTAGGAAGAATGCGCTCATCGTAGAAACTTAATTCAAAATATGACTTTACAGGATGATTGGGGGTCGCGAGGAATGTATGGATGTATGGATTATAGTGGGGAGAAAGACTCAAAAGAGAAAATCTCGTCGCGAAGGTCAAGGACCTATTGCAAAGCTACCCGTGGAGAAAGAGTAAAACAGCTCGTTCCTACCGATTGATAATATAATCATCCATAGGTTTAATGTTGCGACACTATTACGTGGGTTGTGTTACATTAAAAGTATCGTTCCCTGTAACTTGTCTATCGTTATTTAGTAAAGTGGGGGTGTCCCTCAGTTGAGAGAATCTACCCGACTCTTTGATGAAGCTAAAAATTTTTGAAATATCAAATTTTAAGACTTCCTCTGGATTGATCGTCCCCTTACCAAAAATAGTAACTCTGGTACGATCTAGTTGTGTACATGTGCACAGGAAATGAATTGAGGTTTCCTCATTTCTTCCGCAAAGGTCACAATCTGGATCATCCCTAACTCCAATGCGCTTCAAGTGTGCATTCAGTCTAATATGACCTGTTAGGATACCTATGGTATAACTTAGTTTCATTTTACTTAAACTAAGTAGTTGTGATGCAATCTTTTTACTAGGTGTCGTTAGAAAACTTCTAGTTGTTGAGCATGTATTTGTGTTACGCCATCGTATGATAATACTTTCCTGTAACCATTTGTTACATATGTTCCTACATTTCCTTTCGTTCCAAGGAAGAAAGGGTTCGGGACCATATGCTCTTTGCGAAGCACCTTTTTTGGCTAAAATGGCCGCCCTCATTTGTCCCTGAGTTTGGGTTTGAGGTGAAATCCATTTTAGGGTTACTTCCCTACGTTGCGCTATCTGCGTTAGTAATGTAATACAGTCTAACACAAGTTTGGTGTCCACTTTGAAGTCGTTTAATGCTTTAATAGCATACAAACTCTCCGTGTGAATCACTATGGGTGATGTGCTGAGATTGTCATTTGCTATTTCTATACTGCAGTTTAGAATAGCAGACAACTCAGCCTGTGAAATATCAGCATATAGGCCAAGGTATCCACAGTATTCCGTATCTGTGCTTTCATTCCAAAAGCCATATCCAGATCCAAATATGTTTACTGAAGTATCTGTAAACCATCTATCGATTTGTGTGACAGTAGGCCTTTCCTCCATCATTTCTGCCTCCCTTGTCGGTAAAATTACACGATAAGGTTTTTCGAAATATAATGCAGGTGGATTCCTGTCGCTTGGAGCTTGTAGGAACGGTTCATAAGAATACAATCTCTCTATAGCATTCGAGTGATTGTAGTGCCGTACTCTTTCCAAGTTTATGATTGTTCTTAACCGAAATGCTGTTATTTGTGCCTCGGCTGTGATGAATTTGTCCAATGGTGGAATATTTAGCAAAGTTTCCAGTGCTACTTGTGGTGCACTTTTGGCAGCTCCTGTTATTGCCATACACACAACCCTCTGAAGATGGCAAAGAGCTTTCTGTGCCATCGCCGATGTAGTGCCTTTCCACCATATGAACGATCCATACGATATCATTGGTCTAACAATTGCTGTATGAAGCCACAGGAGGTTTGTTGGGTCGCGAGGAATAGAAATCATTAGATTTTGAGCGACTTTGGTTGATGGAAAAAAATTCCATGTCTGGAGTGATACCTATGAAAAAGAGTCCAATTTTCGTCCAAAAGTCATACTTAATGTAGACTTAAACACTCAAAAATATGTATTGGGGGGTTTTTGGCACGAGAGAACCGAATCCGACGTTAGTTTTGAGATACAATCAATTTTTGATACAGTTTCCTTGAAAAAATCACAAAGAAATTGAATTTTCGTATGGGAGCCATGCCTGTTTGCTACTTTAATGACGTGAAACTTTGCACATACTATTTTTTATACAAAATAATAACATTCTGAAAGTTTGAAGAGATTTAAATCAAAATTAGGGATACCTCCCATACAGAATTTTCAATTTTTGGCTCAAAAACGAATATTTTGTATGGGAGGTACCCTTAATTTTGGTTGAAATTTCTCCAAAACCTCCGAATGTTATTTTTTGGTGAAAAAAGTAACCTGTGCAAAATTTCACGCTATTAAGTTAGCATACAGACATGGCTCCCATACAAAAATCCAAATTTTTTGTGATTTTAGTTATGAAAAGTGTTTCATAAATAATTTTTATGGCAAAATTAACGTCAGACATATTTTTTTATAGTGTTTTGTTAAAAAATAGAATACTTTCATATGGGTTCATCATGAAAGTGTGAAAAATCTTTTCTCGGGTACTTCTGCTATTAAATTAAAAAATATTTCGTTGCCAAAGTTGAGACATATTTTTTGGTTTCGAACTTTACGACGCTTGAAAGGCTTGAAAAATCGAACAAATATTATTTTGAACTTTCTTAATAAAATACGCAACTACCACCGAGCGGAAAAGTTCGTCTTACTCCCGTAAGACTCTTTATTTTCGATATTTTTTTGTTTTACCTTCAATTGTCACTGTGTATGACTAAAACATAAATTAACTTTGAAAAATTCTGAAAAGGCAGAGAAAAATATGAAATATGGCACTTTTCTTGGACATCCATGTAATTGTTAAATAAAAGTGTGAGCACAATGGCAATTAATTGAAAGAAACACCACAAATGGTGACAACAACCCTAACGGAATGTAAAATAGAATGGAACGACATTTAGGGGCTGGGAACTTGAAAAAACACAATCCAAATAAATACAGTCTTTTAACGGCAAAAACAAATATAAGCCAAAATTTACGCCGTTTTCTGTCAAAATCATAAGTGTTGACAGTAATTTTTTTAGGGGGCAATGATGGCAAAATTCCGTAAGTGATCCCTGGAAAAATCCATAGAGGGTCCGCACAAGAGTTACTTTTCTCGGCAAAACCTCCAGCAAAAAAGGGGTTTTTGATGCCACTCGGCAAAAAAATTGATTATTGTGAGGCAATGGGAGGATGTATCAACACATTTCAAACTTGGCGCGATGTTTAGTTTCGATTTGAGTTGTTAAATTACATTGACGTTCTCTTTGACTCTCATTTCAAAGGGAGTGCCATCATCGACTCAAATAGACTTGAACTCTCTAGATCCTCCCATCCCCAGGGAGGGGAAGTAATTTGATTCAAAAATCCCTTTGCAAATCGAAATATTTTCTCTCGACAAATCGAAAGAATCTAGGGTCTCAAGAATGTTTTTAGGGTACCGACAAATTTTTTAGGGGCGAAGTGTAATCCAAACCCTGGAAACTCTCGTCAGCACCTATGCAAATTCATATTTAGCCACGAATTAAAATGCACAAATATCCGTGGTTAAAAGCAAATAAATAAAATTTCTGAGCCCCAAGAACGACATATTGAAAATGTACAAGAAGAGAAAAAAACGCATATGTACATTGTACATATCGGGTGTTTTCTTCATTCACCTTTCCACGTTTTATTTTGAGTATATATGAAAATTATTAGTTCACTGTTGAAATAAACACACAGCCCATTGAATTTTATTATAGACGTATGCACCGTTTTCTCCACGACAATTTTTTTTCTCCGATGATGATTTGTTCTCTTTGCTCTGTGGTTTCACTTTATTCTCCGTTCTCGCTCGCACCAACACTCTCGGTCGCCTCGGCTGCTGTCAGTTTTTCATCAAATTCTTTCATATGGTCTACTTTATAACGTTCGCTTCATTTTCTTCGATCGTCTGTGATGTTCTTGTTGCTGTTGTTTCTGTTGAAATAACTGAAAAAAGCACCCACAAAAAAGAAACAATGAAACCTATAATAAAACTATCCAATTATTTTCATATTGCTGTAGCATTTTTATTTTTGTATATGTGTATCGTTTTTGTTTCAATTTCTTGCAATGTGTAATAATGTTTTTTTTTCTTCGATATACCGTTTTATTGTTGGCTGCTGTTGTTGTTAAGAATTACTAGGCACTATTTTATGTGTATCGAAATCGAGATAGAAAGCAATTTCGTGCACCATACATCCACTTTTCCTTAATTCTTTCATAGTCTTATTGTTGTCGTTTGATCCGTAGCTCTTTGTTTTATTCATTTATTATATTATTTTGTGTACACGTCGCACTCGACCCATGCCAAACAACTTAGGAATGAGAAGATGAAGAAAAAATCGTCGAAAAACCATGCCAAATAGGTCTGAGCAAACTCTATGTGTTTCCGAAGAAAAAAAAACATGTTGCTCATATTTTAATTTTGATGATATATACAGGGTGGCGCATATAATAGGCTCACTCTTAGGGGGTGAGAATTTTGAAAAACCCTTTGGGGGGTATGTTGGGGGTAAAAAATAGAAAATTTCTATCTGAGCAGAATTTTTAATTTTTCCCCAGGGGGGATGGGGGTATCCCGAATTTTCCAAAAGTGCATCGGATCAAAAAATAATGTACTACAAAGTTGTTCAGAATGACGAGAGAAATTTTTTAGGACCCCTGCCCTCCAAGTCCCCCCACCCCTTAAGGGGGTCGGGGGGTCAAAAACCCCCAAGATATGATTTTTTTGACCTGAAACCCCGAAATTCGGAATCAGCATGAAAAATTACCTTAGAATCGATATTTTTCTCATCCACCTTTTTTCACAAATTTTGGACGAAAAAAGTGTAAAATCGACTTTGTTAGATTTGAGGGGTCACTTTTGGTCCAAAATTTGTGAAAAAAGGTGGATGAGAAAAATATCGATTCTAAGGTAATTTTTCATGCTGATTCCGAATTTCGGGGTTTCAGGTCAAAAAAATCATATCTTGGGGGTTTTTGACCCCCCGACCCCCTTAAGGGGTGGGGGGACTTGGAGGGCAGGGGTCCTAAAAAATTTCTCTCGTCATTCTGAACAACTTTGTAGTACATTATTTTTTGATCCGATGCACTTTTGGAAAATTTGGGATACCCCCATCCCCCCTGGGGAAAAATTAAAAATTCTGCTCAGATAGAAATTTTCTATTTTTTACCCCCAACATACCCCCCAAAGGGTTTTTCAAAATTCTCACCCCCTAAGAGTGAGCCTATTATATGCGCCACCCTGTATATATATAATACATTGCGTCGCAATCGTTGTCAATCACATATAAACAATCAAAGCATAACATTTGGAACAGTCGGCTTGAACAACAATTTTTTTTTACAAAAAAAACTTTTTCCCTCTCTTTCTTTCTCTGTGCACATGCATGTTCGGCCAAGTTTAAAGATTGGCATTGAGCCATAGCGAAAAAAGAGTAGACATTTTTCAAAAAAAAAAAATGAAAATGACGAAATAGTTTTTCAAACTAACAGTAAATTATTTTTACCCATTTATTTAATTTTTATGTGAATTGATCTGGATCACAAGCATTTCGTTCATTGCCGCTTTTTTAGCGATTGTTCAAAGTCATAAATATGATATATTTATATACAAATGATTTCTGCACGAAAATGAGGCTCATTCGATTCCATTAATGTTTCAACATTTTCACGAAAACCACAAATATGTTCCAAATTCAATTATCGTTTTGTGGCTTTTTTCCACTGCATACTGCGAAAACATCGACCATAAAACGAGTTGCATGGGGGCTGAAAGAAAAGCGATAGTTGAAAATGAGCAAAGTGATTTAAATGGGTTGTTATAAATATGAGGTAGTTAGATATGTAACTGGAAATAAAATTTATACACCAAATTAGAGAAAATACACAATAAAATGCTTGTGATATCATATTGATCGTTATTACCGCCTTCAATGCATTATTTTCTTTTCTGAAACTGGTTCGTTTCTTCATTTGTTCGCATTTGTTCTCTTTTTCTCTCTCTCGTGACCAATGCAATTATCATTCGAGAATAAAATGAACGACATCAGCAACACCTAAAAAACACAGCAACAATAAATTAAATGAAACTTTACGGTTTATCCATTGCCATGCAATATGAAATGCGTTCTTTATGCCAAACATGAAAATTCAGAAAATCAAAATCAGGCCGGCTCATTCTTTAATCGAGACAATAATTTCGAATTTTGAAATAATTCAAAAAGTCATTTTTACAAGGCCCAATACCTTGAAAAATTGACAAAAATTCCTTGAGAATGCAATTTCTCTCTTCTCTCACTCACTTTTCGTATCTCAATTCAATTTTACAGTTATTTTACCACAATTTTATTTTTTTCCCTTTTTTCAATTTTCGAAAAATAAATTTCATGTGTTAAATTGTTAGAAATTTCTTCACCCATTCCCTTCACATACAAACCACCGGTCCGATGAATATGCTCAAATCGACCACTATATAATTTAGCAGCATTGGAATTAAACATTATTTACGGTAGCTTATTTTGTGTGTGTATTTTTTTCGTCTTCTTTTTTTGTTATTATCATTGTTATTGTTATTAATATTGGTTTGTGGTCAGCAATAATTTTTGCTTTTTTCGTCGTATATTTTTTTGGAGATTCACTCATTTACTTTTGGTTTTTCGTATTCATTCGGTGAACAGATTCTTGCGGTTAAAGTTAATAATTTTGAACAACCGTTTGAATTTTATTTGAATTAACAA